GAACAAGTAGTTTATGAGTTCTAAGTATTTTAAGTTTAGATGAGTTGAATATAGTGGAGTATTATGCATTAAAAATGTTGCACTTAACGCTAAACAATATTATAACTACAGGATCTTAACTTTGGTTATTTGGTAGAGGGAGGTTTAAGTTCAAGCCACATTATAATAATATATAAGATGCATATGGTAAACTTTCAAAACACGCAAGATGTAGTCAATCCCCTAGATGTCTGCAATGTTTATCGTCTGCAGRAACGCCCCTACGGAAAACATAACGACGGCGTGTATGCATACACTTAAATGTCTAATTTAAGGACGAAGACCGTTAAAATACTTTTGGCCATCCATCGAATTTGATCTGTCCCCTTTTCTTGGCAGTGTCACATGACATGTTCAACCGGGCCTGCAACTTGTTCACGTTCACTCGGTAATGAGAAACGTCCACTTTGTCGCCCTTYTGTCGCATCGCCTTCAACTGCATCGCCGGCGTTGCGTCGCAGTCACAGGTAATTGTCTGCACGACAAAATCATAATTATAAAATGTAATTATATAGCAGGTACCATGTTGGAATTTTTAATAGAGTTATATTAGTTTTAAATCAGTTACTGGTTTTCATTAGAGAATGCACTGTTTTTTTTTACGTGCGGGCAACATTGAAAAACAATTTTGCAATATAAAAATATACATTGTCTACGATAAGTTGAATTAATAAAAAAGTAGCTAATAAGTTAATTTATCATCAAATTTAATTAATAATTAGTAAATCAAAAGTTCATACTATTAATATCATTAAACCAGTATTTTGTATTGGTTTATTATGTTCAAAGTTAAAAATTAATTCTATAGTTGCATTATTGTTAGTTTTAATTGTAATATTACAAACATTTGATTAATATTGCCTGGACAGCGATTATTATTTTTGGTTTTGAATTTTTTATTTAACATAATATTTATAAAGTTTAGAACAGTTTTGTCTCGAAATACGATTGAAAAATTTGGTTTTAGACCATATTTTTGTATTYTACCTATTTATAGTAAATGTGAAAATTAACATAGCACAATGATTATTAGTGTGTTTTTTTGCTATTTATACATATTATTATACAATATTATAGCTGATCCCGTGCACTTTGTTTCCCTTAAAAAATAGCAATATGTAACGATCAGATTTGACGCAAGCTTAGAAAATAGTTGTATTAATAATATTAATAATAATAATTTCAAATAAAAACAAATAAATGACATTACTACATCGTTTATTATAGTAAATATACATAAGTTTACGACAATATAGCCATATATTTTATAATTTGTATGAGTATAACATTTTTTTCATAAACATTTATTATAGTTCTGCTTGTTGCCCCGCTGGGCATTGCCAAATGCCCATGCTGTAGGTAAATACTTATTAAGTAACAGTTATGTGATATATATGTTCAACACTTCAAAAATTTAATCRACTTTCTTTGTATTATATTTATTTCAATTGTTCAAAACTTCTTTATTTACTATATAGCTGACCTGGCTAACTTTGTTTTGCCATATTAATTATAGCATCCACCCGTAACTTCGTTTGCGTAGAATTTGAATCATATATAATATATATCATTAAATCATATTGAAAATAAGTAAACATTAATGCCRGGTTGCATAAACGATCGATAAGTAGTTATTGGTTCGATAATACAGAAATCGGATCGATAAGAATATTGTCTGTTACATAAACGATTTTTATCTTTTATCGATGCAATAAACATGTTGCTATCGGTTCGATAACTTGAAGGCCCGATTTTAGTTCGATAAATATTAAAAATAACTCTATAACTTAATTTAAATAATAACAGTGTGTTTTTAATGATAATATTGATTGACTTATCACTTTTGTARGTGATTTTGTAATCAATAACCACATAACCACGGTTAACGAACGAACCATTGAACTTAATGGAATTATTTGTGCAACCGAACACTACTTTGTGGATTCAATAAAGATGTTTATCAGCTTGTTTATCAAACCAATATCACATCTTCACATCTTATTTAACTGTTTTTATCAACCGTTTATGCAACCCGGCATAAATTTATTGAGTTAGATCTTCTCTGTAAACGATTTTTAAAGTTGTTTTATTTTATGGCAGCAAAATAAATTACTTAACATCAGATTAAACTCGTGATAGACCCACATACAGTTGGCCATGAGTAAAATATTCCTTTCGTAGGTCGAGCCCTACTAATTCTAAGGTTTAACCTTGAGACTTGTTAATAGTCAACGCGAAAGATATTTTCACCCGAAATTTAAGCCGTTTAAACGTGGTTGGCTGATCATTTGGAATCATCGGTATCCTCGGAATATGAGCTAGCTGTTGGGCTGGTAATAATGGTGAGAGACTCATACAATTTTGTACGCAACACAATAAGCTTGTGTTGACAAACATCCTGTTCAAGAATAAACTAATAAGGTATATGGGAAAAGCTCTTGGAGATATAGCGAGGTTTCAAATTGATTACATTATGACAAAACAAAGTTTAGAAACCAAATTAAGCAATATAAAGCATATTCCAGAGCAGATATAAAAAATCACAATAATCTCTTAATCATGGAATCATAATTAAAATACAAAAATATTAAAGAGAAAAATTATACTAAGAATAGGAACCTA